AATAAATTGATAGAGTTGTTTGTTCTTTTTTTGATTCAGTCTAAAGCAGTCCTTTTATATCTTTTAAAAAGTTTATTAAAAAATATACCTTTTCACGTGAATTATCATTAATAGCTTATTCACATAGAACAATAAATAACTTTTATTCATATTTATACTATCACATTCATATAGGCAATCTAAAAAATTATTAGCATAAGTACAGAATATAATTAACTAGAATAATTAATAGCAGTAGTTTAAAGATTAAAATTGACTTTTCATAAATAAAGTTTTATGATATTTTATAACTGACACATAATTTTTTGATATTCTATATTTTTAAAATGACTAAACGTAAAGTTCAAACAGTATAAACATCTAAAAGATATACAAAAGTTCGAGTAGCATTAACAACTAAAAAACATAAAAAAGATAGTTTAAAAGTACTATGTCAATGTAAAATGTGTGATGGTAAAAAATTGATCGATTTGAGAACCAGTAAAAAACATGGAATAGAAGAGAAACGGCTTGAAGATTATTGTTCTAATTTGATGAAAAGCAGAGGCAAAAGCAAAGATGATTCAACACAAGTTTGCTTTCCTGGTTCAATAACTCATTCTAGATCTGCTTTAACTGATATTCAACCCATTGGCTCTGATTTTCCTCGAGATATTCATAAAGACGATGCTGTGATAATTAAAGATCAATATCAATATGATAATGATGATAATGATTTAATTAAAAACTCGGTTACTGAAAGAAAAAAACAAAGAAGATATGATCAGTTTCATAAAACTGATGATATTATCATCATCCTGAATGAAGAACCTGAACAAGCCAATTTATCGGATGATGAAGAAGGTTCTCAATCATTTGATAATGAATCAACTTCAGATGATGAACCGTTCTTAAATAACGATGAGATGTTTGCAGTACCTGACTCTACTAACATTAATTATGATTCAAATCAGAATAATACAAATATGGACATAGACAATTTATGGATTCTTCTTTAGATCTTTAAATATCAAGAAAGGTTCAGACTTTCTGATATCACAATCAACTCGTTGATCGGCTTTTTTAGCCTTGTTTTAAAAGATATTGACTTGCATCAGTTTAAAGATTTTCCTCCAACTGCTTATAAGGCCAAGAAGTTATTAGAAATTAAGAAACCAACAAAAACTTTTGCAACATGTCCGCATTGTAATAAATTATACAATATTGATTCAATAATTCCAAAAAACCAAAATAATAATACAAATTCA